TTGAATAATTAAATAAAATGTTTCAAAGTTGATAATGTCATTTTAATACCATAAAAATGTACCTTTTTCTCAATTATTGTACATATCACGGATTTATATTACATATAAATCCGTGTACATATTTATTGTTTTTATCTCATATAGATAAAATGAAACATGCTATTGTTGTTTTTTTCTAATTGTAACGATATCAAACATCTACTCCAAAACCGGGAGAGACCGGACAATATAACGTGTGGTACTATTCGCCGGTCACTAGTAAATCCTGGTCAAAATAGACCGGGAGAGACCGGCATTTACCGATAGGAGTGATAAAAAGATATTTTTTGGAATATTTAGGTCATCAACTGATCATTCTAGGATACATGTACAACAATAACATACCATGACATGATAACCGACTGTGTACTACAAAATGATAAATAAAAAACCCCGAAGAGCGCGATTTATTGACGGAAAAGGTTATTTCATTTGTAAATGTTTGCATTGCGAAAATTCATTGTAACATATCGCGACATTTCATTCTTATTTAATAATCAAGCACCCTCATACCGATCGGAATTTTCGGCTTTTATTATGACCGACTAAAAGGCTCGAGAAGTTGCTGTCGCCCTTTCACAAAATCTGATCTCATTCCATAAGAGCGCCGCGCTTCGGCGCGGACGCCAATTATGTATGGCAAGGATAAAGACCAGAAATAAACAGGTCAATACTTGTGAATTGGCAAATAAATTGAAAATTTTACTCAAAACTACCAGATTTTAAGCAAGAGGCGATGAAAAATGGCCTATGAATTAGTTTTTGACACATAATACAAGATGTAAGACAAGCTTAATCATTAAAGTATAATTAAGCAACTAAACCTCATTTTTAAAAATGAAAATAACCATTTTGACGAGTGTTTTTGTAGTATATACAGATGTTTTCCGACCAACTCCGTGACAGTTATCACAAGAACTCCTGAACAAGTTATCATAAGAACTCCATCCTTCGTGTAACAGTTCCTCCCATTGTAAATGTCACATGTAAACTTGACTACGTGTAGATGCGGCCTAAAAGTGACAGGTATGATTTATTTTTGACGTCTTAATATTTAGTCTTTTCACGAATAATTCATCACTGTGATTCTAGAAATCTATGACGGCCAACCACTTAAAATTGTATCAGTTAGCAACTGACATTGCATATCACTGCTAATTGCTTGTGTAACTTGTTCTTTTTTATGGTCGCTCACAGCTATGCTTGAAATCACTGTGTGAATATGTAGGTCAAGATCTTCTTATATAATTCAGGATATGTTTCTGGACAAAAGGTCAGAAATATTTCTGCAACTGTAGTAACATTCGTTGTAACTATGCTACAACTATGCTACATTAGATAGGCTTGTGATCAGATTCTACAGAAATTACTTTATAATTACTGTAAACATGCTGATGAAAATGCTTGTATGAAGAAAAAAACCTATAATTAACATTTCTTTCTCAATTTGGGCATAGTTTATTTTAGCTTTTGTCAGCGTTTTTAAAGCATAAACGTCGAGCTTCCCGTCCTGGAATAAACACTCCCTACCCCATCCTTCGAAGCATCACATTGTATAGTAATCGGTTTTATATGGTCAAAGAATGTAACAACAGGGACAGATGACAGAATAGTTTTGACTTTCTGAAAAACCTGATTTTGTGCATCTTTCAACTCAAATTCTACATCTTTCTTAAGTAAAGCACGCATAGGGGATGTGACAGTAACTAATTTTGAAGAAAGTTTTGACATGTAAGATATTTAGGCTGGAATACATGTTACAGAGAATCATCGGAAGTATATACTTGCTATAGTGATGATATAAATGAATTTTAAGTACGTAATTCAACAGGTATATGATAAATAGATTACATGTATTAAATTCAATTCGGAAGGCTATATACACTGACAAATATACAGACCATATTGTACAACAGGCAACAAAACTGAAGTTCGAGACTATATTAAATGTTGCAATAGTCTTGATATAACTGCAACGCAGATACATAATGAATTATCTGACGTATATGAACCACCGGCTATTTCAAAGCGCTAAATCTTAAGGTAGATCAAAGCTTTTAAAGCTGGGAAATGGTCAGTCAAAGATGAATACAATTCAGGTAGGCCTACAACCTCGGTTACCAAAGCAAGCATTGCTGCTGTAAAAGTTATAGTAGAGCATGATGCATAATTATCAATAAAGAAGATGTAGTTGTATTGGCATATCAGAATTATAAACAAGTGTCTGGGTCTAAGAAAGGTTTGCGCTAGGTTGGTACCCCATTTTGGTCATCAAGGAGCAAAGAAACCAATGACTTAAGTGTGCCAAAGATTTTCTGAAAGCATACAAAGACTGTGATAGTCGGGTTATTGCTAACTTGTGACAGGTCGTGAAACTTGGATGCGTATGTTTGCGCCTAAAAAAGATCCGATTACAAACAGTAGTTACGAAAAGATAAAAAGCGGCCCTGTATTGCAAAATGGACTATTAGTACAAAGATGTTGAATGCGATTTTCTGCAATTCCTATAGATCAGTTGTAAACTATTCGCCTTTTTCTTCTGACTGAAGTCTCTGCGACTTCTTTCAGTCTTACAGGCTTAAGGAAAGGCTTTCTAGTATATATTTGTCAAGGAGTTCTCTTTGCAGCGGAGATTATAAGATGTGACATATTTCAAAATACTATTTTTCGAAACTGGACATTTCTGTCGAGGGGAATACTTTGTAGTTTTGAAATAAAAACATTCTTTATAAAACGTAGCAGTTACTAATCTGAACCACGTGGCAGAACTTCCTGAATAACCTTCGTAAATAACTACAATCTCGTTTAGTTATGTTAGGTTTTTATCACTCATTTGTAAAAATCTTTAAAACTTTTTGGAGACTTTCGCTTATGAACTTATTTTGATTTTTAAGCGTCTTTAATAAATCCTTTCTTCTCATTGTTATGTAATTTAAGAGGATAGTTATGTCCAATAATGTGGTAATAATATATACTTTCAAAAAGAAGAAAATTATAAATTAAATTATTCTCTCACACCCTCATCACCTCTCGTTAAACTTTGTGTTAAAAGTTGGTATCTCGAAAACAACTGAAGGAAATAGGTCACTTGTTTGATAATATTAGAGGACCTCACTGTTCCAACATGGAATTTGACATAATTATAGCCCTTTTTGAATATAGAAGAGTTTACATTAGCATTCCTCTTTTTAACTTTCATGCACGGAGAATAGTCGAGCATGTTGTCCAACTGACAGCTCTTGTTATTATATAAACTTGTTACAAAAATTACCTTCAGTTTAATCACAAAATTGAACAAGAGGATCATGATGGCCCTGAAATCGCTCACCTTAATATAAAAACTGACAAAGGACAAGTTATATTTTAAATTATCAACAAAAGCAGGTATAAAATCTTAACTTAAACTGATATTAAAAAGTTAAAATTTGTTTCTGAAATAGTGCATGTGTATAAACATTACTGGTTGCTATTGCTAAGGGAAAACAGGAAAACAACAGTTCCAAAAGATGTGTACATATAAGGAAAATCAATGACATCCTGGGGCGCGGCCAATTTTGGCCCAGTACAATCACTAGACACTCACTAGAAGATGTCTCATGCTAAATATCTAAGCTCTTGCTCTTTAGGGTTTTTTAAAAGATTTTCTGTACGTTTTTACTCTTTACATATAGGGAAATTCAATAACCCCTTGGGCGGGCCAATTTATACCCCAGGGGTTTTATTTGAACAACTTTGTAGAGGAGATGTCGTTTAAAGTAAAACATACAGACGGACAAATTGTGATCACAAAATAAAAACTCATGTGTTATAAAAATATATAAGTATAACTACATTAAATGAGCAAGAAATGTATTGATGTCAATACAAAAATAATATCCATTTGGTCTAACAATTCATGCCAAAATGTTACAATTTCAATCTACATGTCTACTAAGACTTTAAACCATTAATAATGTTGTTTCAATGCTTGAACAGCGCCAAAGGAAGTCTATAAAATGCCTGTAAGCTTGTCTATTAATATAACGCGTTTCTACTATTCACGCTGCAAATGCAAATGCTAATATTGACAGGTCAACATTTTATGAGCGGTATTTCTGTTCAGAAAGCAGATTGGAACTATTATCAAATGCATTTGTTAACTCGGATGATCTTAGGTTCATGAAGATTGTCTTGGCAATGTCACACAGGGTATACTACATGGTTAAAAGTACTGACATGAGACCCGACGATCCCCAGCCCATAATAATAAGGTATGTTTAAACCTACAGCAAAATAGGCTGTAACATGATACAAAGTAAGTTCCTATATGTATGTATAATGAGCTGCAGCGTATCTTTCTTTTAACACGAAGTTACCAAACGACAGTGCAATATTTTGTTTGACATTGTACCCAGACACTTGGCTCACTTCGTAGACATACATCACGGCTAAATTAACCTGTAGATTGTTTTCCGCTATTTGACAACGTTTAAAACTCCCTAAAAGATAACATGGGTAAAAAAATGACTTTTTTTTTAAAAAAAAACAATGAAATTCTGTTTAAACTTGTTTACGTAGTAATGTTTATCTGGCTGTATTCAAACAAACATCAAGTTATCGATATCTTGTTAAAACTTAAAATAGTGGATACATGGGGAGTCACGAAATTCTTACAGTTTTAATGTAATAATCCATATAACCCTGCACACTGTTACACCCCTGTGTATATAATGTGCAGGTCCATATGAATAGTCTAAATAAAAGTTAAGCGACTCTAAATAGTCCGTCGCCGTTTATATATTGTAAATAACAGGGTTTTAAAGCGTTGTACGAGTAACGTATGAACATGTGATCATATCTACAATGTAATACGCGATTTAAAAATGCATCTTATTATGAACTTTTTAGAAGAAAGTCAATACCTACATATAGAGTTAAAGTAGACTTTACCGATGATAGCTTTACGCATGCGTAAAGAAAACACGAAGGACGGGTGCATTAAAGCATTTTCATACCACTTGTGTGTTTATTAAAAAATAGGATTTGTCTTTTCTCAAGTAATTCAAGTTGTGAATTTAATATCATGCAATTGTTTATTGTGGAAACACAACAAAAGGCTGTTCAAATTATTAGTATAAACTAAAGTAAGTGACTTTTTACACATACTAAACAGTAGTGTTTTCTCCACCAACTACATGTAGTTACGATTCATTTCCTCCACTAAAATATTTATCTATGTCCCTGAATTAAACTGAACTTACTCTCGTATTATTGGTTGTATATCACCATACATAATGTCTTTTTTCTTCTTTAACAACAATTTTCATAATATCGATGTTGTGTTATAAACTTTTACATTGGTTGGTTAATGTAATTAATGCGATATCTGCATGTTTGCAGCTATGAAATGCATGGATTCAAGCTACATACAGTCTTTGAACATTTCGTTAATCTATTCTATTTATACTAATAGGCAGGGAACAAGAAAACCAGAAACACTATCAATTAAAATCAAGAAAATGGAAAATTTAGATGGAAATGTTGACATTGAAACAACATCGTCAGAGGAGTATATTCCTAATATTTGCGAACATTGTGACAGTAATGGAAAGCGTGCTGAAGCCGATGGGTTTTGTGTTGATTGCAGTGAATATTTGTGTAACTGCTGTTTGTTGTACCATGCTAAGTATAAACCTGAACATTCAACTAAAAGTAAAGATGAAATGCCGCAGGATGTACGTTTTGAGAAATGTTTGAAGCATCACATAAAACAAATGAAGTATTTTTGCACGGAATGTAATAACTTCGCATGCGCAGAATGTATAACAAACGAAGGTTGTTATCACGAAGACGGATGTCGAAATAAAACATGGACATCTCTTTACAAAGTTGCTTGGGAAAACAAGGTATCGAAAACACAAGTTGACACGAAACTTGCTGAAGCAACTGATAAACTGGCAAACATTGAAGACACAATCGATAAATTAACGACAAAAAGGAAAGATAAAATTCGAGAATCTATAAAACAACACAGACAAAAATTAGAAAGTAAGATCAAAGAGCTTGAATGTCATTTCCTGAAGAAAAGTGATGAGATTGAAAACACGTTTAAACCGTCGATAGATTCTCTGTCGTGCAACGTTCAGTCAATGAAAACCATGTTACGTTCTGTTGATTCTCAATCGGATAACTGCTGCTCAAACTTTATTGCCGTCAAAAACATGGACCGGAGTATTGCTCCAGTAGAGAAGGGTCTTGAATGCTTAAAGAAGCAAACGGAAATTATGGCATACGAATTCAAAGCAAACCCAAGCCGCATAGTTGACAAATCAGACTTTGGAAACATATTGTTCTCAGAAACTTTCCTGACAAAAACAGCGTGTTATAAGAACGATATTGATGTTAATCTGTACTATAGATGGATTTATCCTACAAATATGAATGATGTATTAATCAAAGATGATCTACTCGTTGTTGTAGCATACATGTGTAGTGCCATTGTGTTGGTTGACCCGATCAAGCAAAATGTTTTATCACAATTATTTATGTCATCAAGTCCAAAGAGTGCAGTATCCATAAATGGGGCTGGAATAGCAGTAGCTCTACCGCTTGATGGGAAAATCAAATTGTTTGACATTATTAACTCAGAATTTGTCGATAGAAAAAAAGACATAGAAGTTGAAAAAGATTGCTGCAGTCTGGCATACAGTAAAAGTCAATGTTGTCTGTATGTGTCATATAAAGAACCAACAAGCAAAATCACTATACTAAATGAAACTGGTAAAGTAGTTCGATTATTGGATAGAGACTGTTTGGGAAATAAGTTGTTTATGAGTCCACGATATATAATTCTAAGCTTGGACGAAGAATCGCTCTATGTTTCTGACGCACATAGAGATGCGGTGGTGAAAATTCATTCCGATGGTAGAATTGGAGCTGTCTTTAAGGACGAGGAACTAAATCGTCCAAGAGGATTAGCGATAGATGAACATGGGACGGTTTTTGTTGCTGGCATGTATTCAAACAATATTTTTCAATTAACCTCGAACTTAACAAAAATCGGAATCCTCCTTGGATCGAAAGATGTATATGGGCCTTTGAGTATCGCAATTGATAAGCATACAGAGAAAGGATGTTTATACGTGGGTATGAGAAAAAAATACTAAAATCAAAACATTCGAAATCAAATGCATACAAGAAACTATCCTTTTATAATGCATTAAAAGCACAAAACAAAGATAGATAAAGTTTTCGTAATAAGAAGTTTGGTTGACTGACGTCGACGTTTAGTGGACAAGTAAATTTGGTGTTATGAGTCAAACTTTATATTTGTAAGGTACTTTAGGCACCATTCTAGTATAAACATATCGTCTGGTTAAACTTAAGCTTAACAAATTAAATGACATGTCACACTGTCACGTGTTTATTTTTGAGGGACATGTGTGTACCTGTAAAAGTGGTAACTAGTTTAATGCTGGATGTAAAAGCATAAGTTTTTTTAATGTTTGTATAAGTGACACTTTATATGAAAGAATAGTTATACATTAAGTTATATTGACATCTTTAAGTAAGCAAAATAATGTAATACTACTTATTTGTTAGAACATAATGTACAGTATGTATGGAGTATCTATCTTTCTTAGCTTTCCTATTTCAACGAATTTATTGCATCTATTTTGACCGTGCTTTGTAGACTGCTGTGGACTTAACACTTATTTACAATCAATACTTATTTACAATCTTTTTTATTTTGAGAATAATCTTTACTAGAATTTCCAACGAACATTTTTGTAAATAAATCTATATTAATTAACCCATTACTGAATGAGCATTTACTTAAAAAATGACTGTTTCTTCGAAAAGACTCCTGTTACAATTTCAAATTGCTATGAAACTATAAAAAATGCTTTAATTTAATAGTGATCAAATTTGGCACAAATGTTTACTGGCAACGGCATGCTCAATCTTAAATTGCCTCTTAACACGGCAACGAGGGGACATCACAAAATTGCCAAAAATCACTATTTTGCGTTGACTTTTTTTTCATCAAAACCGATTTCGAAGTGCTGCAACTTCTCAATAGAATTAGATAAGAGTTGCTTACACGTTACCTTAAGATAGACCTGAGGCAAATTTTAGCGAATGATGTATCTTTTTGATAGGGGACGGCGCCGAAAAAATTATCTTTTTTTACAATATCTCTCAAACGAAAACAAGTGTTTCGAGTCCAAATAGGACATTTTTTCACTATTTGAAGCCTTAAAAGGGGAGGGGGGTTCTATATAAAGTAATGGATTAAATGTATCTGAAGTAATGGTTTAAATGTATCATTTTAATGTGCCCGAGCATGTTGCCTTTAAAGACAACAACCCGGATTTACAAGTTGCTCTGGACAACGACTCGAATGATTAAAAATAATTTATTTTCTGCTCAGTCATATATTTAAAGATTGTTTTCATCGTTTGATTTTTGGCCCAGTCATGATCATATATAATGGTACATTCGTTTTTACGTCGATCAAATAACTTTGTCGTATTTTTGGTATAATGATTTATTTTCAGCGCTACGCTACACTAAAACCAGATTGCATAAAGTTTATATGTAACAGGTTTTAGTTGAATAGTCACGCGCACTCAGTGTGTTTTCATCAAATATAAAAACCAACCAAGCAAAGGAGATTAAGTGATAATGAATGGCCTTGAGCTATTCATCGAGTTTTGGATTATCAATTAAAGTACCAGACATGCCAAAAATACATTTGCACAACTTTGTCATTGTATAATAATTATAACCATTTTCTGCTTTCATTTATTGTGTGCGCTTGCATATTATAACAGAGTTATTTAGAATTACAAGAAGAACAGGCCACAAAATTGAGCTATGTTAAGCAAAAGGACGTCCTGAAATATAATGACGTTTCAAACAAAAATTAAGATTCTTTATGCAGTCACCACTGACCAATATAGATTTATATTAGTTTTGATAAAAACCTAACAAGATGAATAAATGATTTACAAAGAGAAAAATATTTGGCCCAGTAACTTAATGATTTGTTAAAAGGCTATTTCTATGTAACAAAGGGTCATAATTCAATAACACAATGAACTTCAATGAAATTTGAAATAATTTCCTTATTGAAACACACATTCAGTATACAATCATCATTGTATTAACCATATTTTGCAAGGATTTTAGTGTTTGGCTAAGTAAAAGCATCATTTAATTTCATTTATCAACGGTTTTTAAGAATAAAATTTCTATCAGTTTATTTTATGTACAAGTTTTTATGTTGATCCACTGTTTTGTTATTCAGTATTCATTTTGACTTTTTTAAACTGAATTTCTTTTGTCAGATAGTAGCAAACGTATTCATCGTCGTAGTGGCGGTCCAGATGCACTACTGAATGAATTTTTTATACACGGTAAACACATTCTTTTGCCATCTTTAGTTTTATTATTCAATAAAATTTTCTCTCAGGGATATTTTCCGGAAAGTTGGTCAGAGGGATACGTTATACCATTACATAAAAAAGGTAGTGTAAACGAAGTTAGTAATTATAGAGGTATAACTTTACTCAATGTCTTAAGTAAAATTTTTACTCGTGTACTAAATAATAGGTTGAATAGTTGGGCTGAGATGTATGGTGTATATGTAGAAGCGCAAGCAGGCTTTAGGCAAAATATGGGAACAACGGATAATATTTTTGTTCTGCACGGCCTTATTTCTCACATGCTTAATCAGGGTCGACAACTCTTTTGTGCTTTCATAGACTTTACTAAAGCGTTTGACTATATTGTTCATGATAATTTATGGTATAAATTGATAAAACTGGGACTACGTGGAAACATTCTAAATATTATAAAATCTATGTACACGACAGTTAAAGCAAGGGTAAAATATTGTAATAGATTAAGTGACCCATACGAATGTTTACTTGGTGTAAAACAAGGAGAGTGTTTATCTCCCTTTCTCTTTTCCATGTTTCTGAATGACCTTGAAGATGAATTTATAAAAAGTGATATTGAAGGTATTGATGTTGATATGTTTAAAATGTTCTTAATCTTATATGCTGATGATATTGTTATTCTTGCAAATAGTAAAGACGAACTACAAAAAGGTTTAAATGTTTTAGCAGATTATTGTGATAGATGGAAACTTTCAGTGAACACATCTAAGACGAAAATAATGATATTTAGAAAGGGGGGGGGATACTGCCTAGAAATTTGAATTTTTATTACAAAGAAAATTGTATTGATATAGTTAGCAAATTTACGTATTTAGGGATTGTTTTCACATCAGGGGGGTCCTTTGCAGAAGCTCAAAATACCATTGCTGGACAAGCGTTGAAAGCAATATTTAAAATGAACAAAAACCTATATAAATTTGTTAATATTTCTACTTTACACAGATTTGATCTTTTTGATAAACTAGTTAGTCCTATACTCAATTATAGCAGCGAAGTCTGGGGTTTTATACATGGTAATGCAATTGAAAGAGTACATATGCAATTTTGTAAACGTACGTTAGGTGTTAAAAAAACAACTCAGAATGATTTTATATATGGTGAACTCGGTAGAATATCTTTCAAGACAATACGATACTATAACATTATTAGATACTGGGTTAAAATATTACATACAAATGAGAATAAATTTGTCAACAAAGTTTATAATTTATTAAAAAATGATTGTTAAAATTACCCAAATAAAACAAATTGGTGTTCATTAGTGAAAAATCTTTTATGTACATTAGGTTTTTATAATGCTTGGTTAATGCAAAGTGTTGGTAATACTGACCTGTTTTTATACTATGTGAAACAACGTTTGAAAGACCAATTTGTACAAAACTGGTCAAGTAGATTAGATAACTCTAGTAGAGCTCTATTTTATAGACATATTTCTGTTTTTAAGTTTCAACCATATCTAAATATTATCAATGTTGAACGGTTTTGTAAAGATCTCACTAGGCTAAGAGTATCATCTCATAGATTGCATATAGAATCAGGTAGATGGACTAAACCAAATAGTACACCTTTAAATGATAGAAAATGTTTTTCATGTAATGTCTTAGAAGACGAATACCATTTCATATTAGAATGCAATGTATATAATGATTTAAGAAAAAGTCTGATACCGCCTTATTACTGGAGACGTCCAAATATGCCAAAATTCATTGAATTATTAAATTCTGAAAATGTATGCACATTACGTAAATTAGGAAAATTTGTAAACAATGCTTTTACACTAAGAAAAGAAAGATTATACACAAATAATTAGTAGTCATTATTGTTAAGTTAATTATATTTATTTTGTTTTGAATAAGTGAAATTTTTGTGAAATGGATAATTATGTCAATAATATATATGTAAATGCATAGTTAAATTATTATGCTTAATAATTTTGAATTAGTGAATGCTTTAGTTTAGAAGATATATAAAGGATATATATTTGTAAATGTATAGCTAAATGATTCTTAAGATTGTGCGTCCCTTTTTAAATCGAACCACTCCCTATAGCTAAATTTACTGACTAATAGTTATGTTGTTCTTGTGTTTTGTTTCGGCAAGAACAACATACACGTACTCGAACAAGTATAAATAAAATTTTATATGATACAGTTAATTGATTCTATATCTAAACTTACCGACAAATGGTTATGTTGTTCTTGTATTTTGATTCGACAAGAACAGCATATACATACTCAAGCAAATATGAATATAAATATACATGTATCTTATCAAATTAATTCAATACAATGTATGAAGTTCACTTCTCTGTAAGTTTTGCTAGACAGTGGTAATTTATTTAACATTAGATAAATTTGATTGTCCTTTTGTTCTGATGTTCATTTTAATTGATGATATACAATTTTTTGTATACCTTCTCCATTTACACATGTTATTGTATGTATATGCTTTACACTGTCTTGTCATGTATCATGTATCTGTTTATCCTCATGGGCCATTTGGTCCAATGGAATATTGAAATAAACTTATCAAAACTTATCATCATTGCTTTTTTTAATATTACTTTGTGACAAACATTTCAATTTTATAGTATAGTTCTAATATACTATTTGTAAAGCTTACAGCATATGGAGTATTTAATGTATACCAGATGTACTTTACATTGTTGCAATTTTGCTTACTTTTTTGTGATAAAAAGAAATTGTTGATATTCCCAAAATAACCATTTAAATTATATTTTGGTTTGTCTTCCCTTACATATCCCTTTATTTTGAAATTTGTTATGCATACTCTTATAATTATGTGTGTATTTCATAATTTTATTGAGTGTATTAGCCATTATATACATGAGATGTAGTGGAAAAAGGACTGATAGTCGTTTCATGATTTAGAAAAAGTTCATAAAGGGGAATAATTATACTCCCACAAATGAAGTTTGAGGGTTAGTGTGTTGGTCTGTTGGTTAGATTAAAACTAGACTAAAGGATACAATGTTACCCCCCCCCCCCCCCCAAATAAACTAGACTTACGTTGAGTCGACGTTTGGTTGGGATTCTATGGAGCCATACAGCAACTAGAGGGATAAAATGAGATGTGCGCATACCGTGAACGAGAATATTCAGTATTTCAAACATAAAGCAAAATAATTTTTCCCTCAAATAAAATGAAATATAAATGCAAAATGTAATACATGTATTATGTGTCACAAATATTCAGGGACGGATGTGCGGGTATTTGATTAATCTAGTTGCTGTATGACTACATAGAATCCCAACCAAACGTCGACCCAAGGTAAGTCTAGTTTATAAGCGGGATTCTATTAGGTCATACTAACTTGTTCTTACGTGGTGGCTGAGAATCTTCATGAACAGATGAGCGGGAATCACTTTCATTTGACACAACGCTGTGATTGTCAGAAAACACATGTCATTACAATAGTCGTCAGGATAATAATAGTCATTTTCATCATATTCATACAAATCATCAACTCTCTTAGATAGATTTTCTAGTTTAGAACCTTGTTTCGTAACATTTGCGTTCAGTTCTTGCAAAATTTCGATAACTGCATCGTTAATTTTCTCGGGAGTTTTCTGAGTGGACACTTCACCACGAGACTCACTTTTACGCCCCTCGGACGCAATAGATTTACCAGCAGACGTTGATTTATCACATTTGTTTTTCAACATCCTTAGACATGTTAGAACCAGATGTTCCTTGATTTTACAACTATCCTTGCATGAAAATCTTCATGAAAATTCTTCTAAGTTCAAGGATGATAATTCTAATAATATAGGTGCTAGAATTATGGACCTTGCTACATATGATGTAGGTGATGATAAGAAACATGTATGGAAGTTGGAATAAAATATATCAATTTCTCGAAGAAAATCTAAGTTCAAGGGGGACATTATTCTGGAAATAGTCTTGCTAGAGTATTGAACCTTCTTACAAATGATTTGAGTGATAATAACAAACATATATATGAAGTTTGAAGAAGATACATTAAGAAATAAAGAAGTTATTTAAAAAAAATCATAAAAATTCTTAGTTCAAGGGAGGCAATTCTGATAATTTTTGTGCTAGAGTTGTAAATATTGTCACATATGATGTGGTTGATGACCAGACACTTATATTTGAAGTTTGAAATAATACCTTAAGAAATAAAGAACTTATAGAGAAAAAGCCTAAAAACTAGAATCAGAAATATTGACGAGGTTGCCAACGTTTGTTAAACAGGACAGCTCTTAATATACCCCCTATAGATTAAAATGATGTGCATCATCTCCAGACTGCCATCTACCCATATTTCAAGTTTCTAAAAAATATTTTCAGTACTTTTTGCATTATCACTAGATCCAGTTTATGTGTTAAATTTGCCATATTTTCAGTCTATTTGTTGTCATAGCAACCAGAATTGTCAACATAGGAAGAAAAGAAAAAGACGTGCATAATCTTCATACTGTGCCATCTATCCATATATCAAGTTTCATAAAAATATTTCCAGTACTTTTTGTGTTATCGCGGGATCCAGTTTTGTGGACAGACGGACAGACAGACGGATGGACAGAGGGTAAAGCTAAAGTCCCCTCCGGTAAACCTGTAGGGGACTAAAAACATTTCTTTATGAAAGGTCCAAATTCTAGAGGGATAATTCTGATAATTTTGGTGCTAGACTTAGGAAACCTGTCACATATGATGTGGCTTATGACCAGAAACATATATTGCAAGTATGAAGTAAACACGTTAAGAAAACAAAGATAGTTTTCTGTCCATTACATTTTGTCAACACCTCTGCGTTACAAAGCTTTAGTAGGCCAATAACCGCAATTATATTGTTATAAACCATGCACGTTATATTGCTGTACTACATATATAATTTGACAAATACTAAAATCTATGCTACTACATTTTGGGACAAACTGATAAATCAAATAAACAAAACCCATGTTTTCAAATTTACTCAGTTAAAGCAAAGTTCACATACACAGTTTAATGATATAATGTAATAACATTATTCTTCAAACATAATTCATATATAATCATATATAATGTTTAAGCATTAAATCAAACATATCACAGTGAGAAAATAAAGGGTAACTATAAATATATACAGGTCCTATTCTTCCAAAATAGCAAATAAATATTCCCTCTAAACTTGACAACTACAAAAACAACATGATTAATTATTGCCCAAAGTCTTATCTACCTAATTGTTAATGTCATAAAAAATCTTCACTAAGAATATGGATGAGTTTGACTTGATCGATGAAAAATTGCATTCATTGACAAATAAGTACTTTTAATATGTAATGCTATGACCTATAATTTGAATTTAAAACATTTTTTTTGGAAGTAATGTTTTAATATAACATACATGTATGTATTACTGATTTGTGTTCAAGCTGTGACCCTGGCAGCCTTTACTTTGTAATCCTGGAGAACCACAAAAAACCATAAGAATGTTCATGCATTACAAAATTATCTTAATATATATTTGTATGATTACCAACAAGCACATCAAGAAGAAGGTGAATTAAAAACCAATAAAATACACAGATTTATCTATATGATGTCTTTGACCAGGTGAAATCCCACAGAAGCAATGAACACAACAAAATATATGAAAATTGCAGGCTCAATTTGCTTGAATCTGTTCATGGAGATAATGGAAAGAGCACAATGCATAGATGAAATAAATCAAAATAAATATGCATTGTTTTAATGTAAACATCACAACAGATTGAACATGCCATCAGTGGCATCTCATACTTTACTGCTGACTGCTTACCTTATAATATTAGTGCACATTAAGTGGACTGTTCATAAATCAAGGTAAGAAAAGTGCATAACACAAATTCAGCAAAGGTATATATAGTTAAACTGATTCAATTACATATCCATTTAATCCAAACTTGAGCTCATGATACCAATGAAACATCTTTGATACCAATTAAACATCTATGAATGAACCAAATATATATACATATTTACAGAAACTAACAAATGATAGAGATATATTAACAGAACCCAAGTGTATGATCTAAAGTTGTAGTCAAAGTTGTTTCTCCAACATTTTTTCGAACACACAAAAAATTAACTATATTTGCATGCACTCAAAGATTCAAGAAGCATGTCACATGCTATAAATAAACAATGGTTAATCCCAAAATGAATTATTCCTCCTTATGAACACTTTTACTTCCAGTAATATTCATATTTATCCTCTTTTTTGTCAATGTTACAAGGAACATGTCATTCATTGAATATCTTGCCAGATCTCTAAGATGAGCATTTGTTTCCATGGTAACCATTGTTGTCATATCCTGGAGATTTTTACAACAGGAGATAGAGTATCAGTATGAACAATCCCACACATCACTATTTATGAGAGTTTTCTTGTTTATGATTATATTAAATGTTGTGCAATATTACATCATAACATTACATCATATCATCCACTTGGTGGTAACAATGGAAGTCTCTCTGACAGGATTTCATTCTGAAACAAATAAAAACAGTTTTATATAAAATATATCAATCAACAACTCAATTTTGATCAAATTTTTTAAAAGACTTGTATAATAAACACTATTTTTCTTGACCTTTATTTGCACCAATGATCATTTAATTTTTTAAACAGAATAAGCCATGTTCTTACAGCATACACCCATAACAATACAATTTTTAATACACAAGTATGACAAAATATCTTAGAAAACCATGAGCAATGTAGTTCCAATTTCATGACTTTGCTGCTCTGAAACGTATTTTAAGCCATAAAGTAAGTTAAATTTGCCTGCCATTGTTACAGTTTAACATAAAAGCTCAATTTTACATTAATCTCTATATTGACTATTAAGCACACACAGAAAACATTTGCCCAAACTCTTGATTTAATGAAAATAAAGCTAAAAGATTGGCAAGATGATAACCTTTATCATTAAACATTAAATTCTAATTATGATTCGCAGGAAAAACACTGATTTTCAATAGAAATTCTTCAAAGCCGAAAGAAGCTACCCCTAGACATGTCAACAGGTAGGTTTTATTGTAGTGTGGACTAATATAAGAATCTTGCTTCCGGTACAGACCGGAATATCTAGCTTGAGGGTAACTGTTTACGGCGGTAACGATGCTCTGCCGAGTTTCGGCTAAACCGCTACCCAAGAGCTAGATATTCCTGTGTGTACCGAGAGCTAGTGTTTGATTCTTTTTCTTGCATATTGCATATCAATTACTTTCAGAACAGAAATTACGAAAACTGATATTTTCATTACGCACATTTTTCTTATGGAAGCGAATGAACTTACAACTTCATTTATAACCGTAAAATGATGTCATCCTTAGAATGCAATTCATTCATAAAAGGCACGCGGCAATGACGTCATGTAAAGCACGTGACTTGTCTTACATGGGGGGTGTAAGACAGGGTTTTCTAGCACCGGTGTAAATGGTACATATTTCCTGTCTGACATGCAAGAAATATAATTTAGAAATGACCATGCACTTTCTAACCTAGTAACAAATAACTAAATATAGATAAACATGCAGGATAAAAAATATCTTCATGCAAAATTTATGTTAATTTTGTGTGCAACAAGAAAATATGTTAATCCTTACCATGCTTAATATCTAAAATGGACATGTCCATTTCTTAATTTGGACAAAACCATTCACCATTTTTAGAGAAAATTTCAAATATGTATTGACAGAATAGCGAACAGTGATGACCATGATCAAATGGCATGACAAGGTCATCAGCTGAGCTTGATCTCCAATGGTCACATGAGTAGATTAAGTTAATTACAATACATATATATCTTTATTGCCTTCATTTGACTAAAGATTTAAATATAACTTTCCTATTAAACATGTCATGATTAAAGAAACTACTGAAATCAGGTAACATAGTCATTAGATGCAAGTAACAATTTTTAAGTAAAATGAGGCCATCCTTAAAAAAAATGTTTGTTTGCAGTAACCCGACCCAAAATTTTCAAGGTGGGTAGGTAGGTCGATTTATTTATTTATTTTTTTTTTTGAACTGTACTCCCAAATAAACATGGAATTTCAAAATGCTGGACAATATATGCTTTGATAATCTGGTAACAATGAATAAATTGATAACTGAATTCTAATTTAATAAGAACTACATTTTATTTCTTCTATAAACCTTTAAAAGAACGAAAACAAGCAATTTGAGTAGGGGCAAATTTTGTGAGTTGGTCGCGTTACTGCAAACAAACATTTTTTTAAGAATGGCCTGATTGTTTGCTATTATAATCAATAAAAAGAAAAGTCGGTATTTTGGGACTCGAAAAAGGGTCTTTTTCCAAGATATGACTGAAGAAAACTGTAGCAGGGAAACAGTAAAGCAACAATAATGAAATTTCAGTACATATACATCCATGTGCTGCCATGTGCTTTTCAACCACCTTTGAAGAAAATATTCCATAAACCAAATATCTGATATTAAAAGAGTGCAAACTGACATACCTCCAAACAATTAAACAGTACTAAGCCGGTTTTGCATTGGCTAATTTGACACCATCTTTCAAAGCATTCAGGAGTGGACCTTTCTGATTGGCTAATTGTTTTACTGCTGCAGTGACTGTTTTGTTAACAGCTTTTACAACAGTGTCTGTCATTGGTTCAATTACTTTTTTAGCCTGGTGAGTCATTTCTAAAATTAGAATATGACTGTTGCTATTAATTGTGTAGGTTAGTTAAAGAGAAGATCACAATAAAAGAACTATGTGTAATAGAAGAGAGATCAAAAGCTATTTTAGTAACAAGCAAATTCGTTGAATTTATATCCCCCGCCGAGTACTGGTTTTTATTAACACAACAACTGAAAACATGAGACTTTATTTATATATTAATCATGGCATAAACAGTAATATTCTTTGAACTTGATAAATATTCAGGGCAATAACAGAGCCATAACTTTGTGTTAAATAGTAATATCTGGAAATGCCAATGAGATGTATGCATACTACATAACTAATCAAGGGCCATAAATCTGAGTTATAAGTATCTGACCGGAACAAGGCGACTATATGCACATCTCCTCTTAGTATCCCATAAAGTTTCATTGAATTCCAGCCAGTAGTTACAGAGAAGTAGCACGGAAACGATTATTGCTCTGGTTGTATACTGCCTAAGTTATCAAGGGTCATAACTCTAAGTTAAAATGTCTGACCCGAACAAGGCGACAATATGCGCATCTCCTCTTGGTATTGAAGGTTCCCATAAAGTTTCATTGAATTCCAGCCAGTAGATGCAGAGAAGTAGCGCGGAAACGATTTTTACTCCATATGCATACTGCATAACTAATCAAGGGCCATAACTCTGAGTTAAAGTGTCTGACCGGAACAAGCTGACGATATGCGCATCTCGTCTTGGTATTGAAGGTTCCAATAAAGTTTGGTTGAATTCCAGCCAGTAGTTGCAGAGAAGTAGTGTGGAAACGATTTTTACTCTAAATGCATACTACATAACTAATCAAGGGCCATAACTCTGAGTTAAAGGGTCTGACCGGAACAAGCTGACGATATGCCCATCTCCTCTTGATATTGATGATTCCCTATAGTTTTGTTGAATTCCAGCCAGTAGTTGCAGAGAACTACTCCGGAAACGAAATTTTACACTGTATGCATACTACATAACTAATCAAAGGCATAACTCTGAGTTAAAGGGTCTGACCGGAACAAGCTGACGATATGCGCATCTCCTCTTGATATTGATGATTCCCATAAAGTTTCGTTGAATTCTAGCCAGTAGTTGCAGAGAACTGCTCCGGAAACGAAATTCGGACGGATGGATGGAAGGACGGACGGACGGACAACGCCAAAACTATATCCCCCTCCCGAATCCATCGGCGGGGGATAATAAGTGCAGGTGTTAAAAAAATCCTCCAGGAATTTAACAGTTTTTATTTTCATGTTGAAGAATGATGCCTTTATGCCATATCATGTCCTACAAATTTAAGTGATTTAACTTGTTATTAATATCACTCTTTGAATATCTGATTTGTCAAAATAAAGCTCATTTGGTATGGCAGTGCTTGAAAAATAAAATCATTTTAGATTTTGAGATTGGACATATACTTAACACATAGTGTCAATTATTTTTGGCTATCATATGTAGTGATAAATGTGACAGACTAGTAATCTAGCCATATGGGTTCATTCCTCATTAGGGACAAGTCATTGTTTCATTAAATAAGAAACTCATTGCTTAGTACTGGTTGGTCTTAGAAACAGATTCAAGAGCATAGCTTCCTACACAATCAACTAAAATAAATTTCTGTATAGACTGTATTTGCCATGTGAATAAATCTCTGTAATTCCTGGCTAAATTGCATAAATCATTTTTCAAATCGGTAATTTGGTTAATTCATATACATAAATCTGCTCATGCTATTTCTTCTATCATTAAATCAAAAATATGTACATTTAATGATATAATTATTTAAAAAAACGATGTCATTTGATACAAACAAGACATGATCTTACACAAATTTGACAATTTTCAAGATGCAATATTTAAATATAAACAACATCAAGTACCACTTTCTACTGATTACTAATCACACACAACACATGTACCTTTATTAATATAAACACCTCCAAGCCCTAATGGATGATTTAATTTTCCTTTCCTATCTAGAATAGTTACAAGAAAAATGGTTAGTGTGTCTATCATTGAAACAATCTCATATGATAACAAATAATAAATACCATGCATTTAATAACTGAAAAGTTAGTATGAATGTTATTTATATTCTTGCTTAGTATGGGTAGGTTCTGTTTTAATAATATCTGTCATATGTTGCGGTTCAGATTGGAATATCCGTCCAGAGGGGACCCCGCCCATTGAGCGGTAACTTTAATAACAATGGCGAAATGACATCATCCTAAGCTCATAGTTTCTTTCTAAAATGATGTCATTAACATGATTTATTCATTAAATGTGCTAAATTGACGTTGTTTTATTGCACGCAACTCATCTGGCACCCCCATGCCAGATGAGATTTCCGTCATGGGTAAAACTCACGGAAACGCCAGTCTGCTATGCAAGAATATTGAAAGTAAGACAATTCATGCCCATTTGATATTTTTTAAAGTCTTAAAATGGGTAGGCCAATAACAAGAGCTGTCACAGGAGACAGCAAAGCTCAACTAATAAAATACTGGATGCAGTAAGGAGGACAAAACTATGAAAGAAAAATCAATTATGTATAATTATGTATTAAGTTATAGTAAAAAAATAATATTTGTTAACATAAATTCCAAGATCAAGGGGAATAATTCTAGAAATAGTCATGCTAGAGTTATGGACCTTGTCACACAACATTTGTGTAATGATAAGAAATATATATTTGAAGTTTGAAGTAGATACCTTAACAAGAGCTGTCACAGGAGACAGCGAAGCTCGACTAATAAAATACTGGACGCAGTAAGGAGGACAAAACTATGAAAGAAAAATCAATTATGTATAATTATGTATTAAGTTATAGTAAAAAAATAACATTTGTTAACATAAATTCCAAGATCAAGGGGAATAATTCTAGAAATAGTCATGCTAGAGTTATGGACCTTGTCACACAACATTTGTGTAATGATAAGAAATATATGTTTGAAGTTTGAAGTAGATACCTTAAAAAGTAAAGAAGTTATTATATTTCTTAAAGAAAATCCTAAGTTCAAAGAGAGATAAATCTGTAAATATTGCTTCAAGAGTTATGAACATTGTCACATAAAATGTAATTGATGATAAGGAATAAGTATTTGAAGTTTGAGGTAGATACCTTTAAAAATAAAAAAGTTATAATAAAAAATAACATTTTTCTAGTAAAAAAATATAAGTTTATGGGGAGATAATTCTTGCAATATTGGTGCTAGAGTTATGACCCTTGTCACATAAGATGTGGATGATGATAACGTAAATATATTTGAAGTATGAAGTTGATCCCTTTAGAAATAAATAAGTAACAGTAAAAAATAATATTTTTTATGGAAAATTCTAAGTTCAAAGGGAGATAAATCTGAAAATATTGGTGCTAGAGTTATGAACCTTGTCACATAAGATGGGGATGATGATAACGTAAATATATTTGAAGTATGAGGTTGATCCCTTAAGAAATAAAGAAGTAACACTGTAAGAAATAGCATTTTTTGAGGAAAATTCTAAGTTCAAGGGGAGATAAATCTGAAAATATTGGTGCTAGAGTTATGAACCTTGTCCCATAAGATGAGAATGTTGATAAGGTACATATATTTGAAGTATGAGGTTGATCCCTTAAGAAATAAAGAAGTAACAGTAAAAAATAGTATTTTTTAAGGAAAATTCTAAGTTCAAGGGGAGATAAATCTGAAAATATTGGTGCAAGAGTTATGAACCTTGTCACGTAAGCTGTGGTTGATGATAAGGAACATATATTTGAAGTTTGAAGTTGATACCTTAAGAAATGACAAAGTTATAGTGAAAAATATTTTACTGCACCAAAACTTTAATCTAAAATCTGGACGCGGACGCGGACGCCGGGGCGAGTAGGACAGCTCTCCATATACTTCGTATAGTCGAGCTAAAAAGTAAAGAAGTTATTATATTTCTTAAAGAAAATCCTAAGTTCAAAGACAGATAAATGTGTAAATATTGCTTCAAGAGTTATGAACATGACACATAAAATGTAATTGATGATAAGGAATAAGTATTTGAAGTTTGAGGTAGATACCTTTAAAAATAAAAAAGTTATAATAAAAAATAACATTTTTCTAGTAAAAAAATCTAAGTTTTTGGGGAGATAATTCTTGCAATATTGGTGCTAAAGTTACGAACCTTGTCACATAAGATGTGGAAGATGATAACGTAAATATATTTGAAGTATGAAGTTGATCCCTTTAGAAATAAATAAGTAACAGTAAAAAATAACATTTTTTATGGAAAATTCTAAGTTCAAAGGGAGATAAATCTGAAATTATTGGTGCTAGAGTTATGAACCTTGTCACATAAGATTGGGATGATGATAACGTAAATATATTTGAAGTATGAGGTTGATCCCTTAAGAAATAAAGAAGAAACAGTAAGAAATAGTACTTTTTGAGAAAAATTCTAAGTTCAAGGGGAGATAAATCTGAAAATATTGGTGCTAGAGTTATGAACCTTGTCACATAAGATGGGGATGATGATAAGGTACATATATTTGAAGTATGAGGTTGATCCCTTAAGAAATAAAGAAGTAACAGTAAAAAATAGTATTTTAAAGGAAAATTCTAAGTTCAAGGGGAGATAAATCTGAAAATATTGGTGCTAGAGTTATGAACCTTGTCAAATAAGATGTGGTTGATGATAAGGAACATATATTTGAAGTTTGAAGTTGATACCTTAAGAAATGACAAAGATATAGTGAAAAATATTTTACTGCACCAAAACTTTAACCTAAAATCTGGACACGGACGCCGACGCCGGGGCGAGTAGGACAGCTCTCCATATACTTCGTATAGTGGAGCTAAAAACTGCTCATATTAAAGCTGGCTTGATAGCCTCTTGACATAAAGGAATTTTAAGTTTCCAATAAGAAATAAAATATAAAACATTATAATCACAGGGCAAGGGATTTAACACCAGACAATAGTATATATAATATGATTATCATACAATAAAATACTGCTTATAAAGTAATACAAGGTTAGTAGATGTGTTCATGTTACCAGATTTGTAAATAATCTATACAGAAAATTTTAAAGATTTACTGCTTAATAGAGATTTTCATTCTGTTAAGATGTTAAATTGAGTACATTTGATAGACATAGCTGGATGAACACATGTATGTATAGTTAGCTTAATAATATTAAGACAAAAGATTGTCATACTTTTTTTTTTAAAGAAAGTTGCTTTAAATGTCCCTTTGTAAGCATAAGAAACAAAAGCTTAAAGGGGACAATTTGGAGTTGTTAAAAGATAGTCTTCAAAGAATTTTTTTGCTTAAGTAAAGAGAGACCATGATATATTTCCCCATACAAGTTTTTAGTAAAGCAAACTACAGATAGAAATATAGGTAAGTGAAGTGACTTGATGCATTTTGCAATTAATGGTATGTTTACAACTAAAATAATCAAACATATAAAAATTAAATGTTAGTTTTAACTATGAAAATAAAAACAAAGTAAGTAATTACTTAAGTTTGGTATATACTAGCTTAAAAATTACCACAGAAGAAATAGGAAGATTATCAGATTGCTAATACGTGAAACAATGCAAGAACTGCACTCTAATTTAAACAAAAAATTCTAGCTGTGACCCAATCTATAAAACATGTGATATACACAATGCAACTTCAGTGACAATTTCCAACAAACCCATGTTCAATTAACAAGTTATTATTTAACATTATACATACTTGCAGCAACTGTTGGTGGATTAACTCCCTTTGTAGGTATAATCACTGGCTTCTCCATCATCACAGGGTTTTGATGGAACACTTCAGATAAATCTATAAATAAATAATGCTGTTTTATTATGTTTTATGCTGAATAAAATTTTGTATTGTAAATAAGATGCCGCACATGATAATGTTTGTTCTTATATAGAGGATATTTGTTGGTTTCAGAGTAAGGTCAAAATATATTTCACAAAGTGAGTTTCATAAATAATATTTTAACATGACTGACTTAAATGGCCACAACAGAAAAAATTAAAAACTAATGTTCACCAGTGAAATACATATTTATCTTACACATAAAAACAATTTCTGCAGATTGTTTTATTTGTCAAGGGTTATGATATGTTTGTACTGATTTCTGTTGTATAACATCATGTACTCTCTTTCAGGGCATCATCAAAACATAATGTCAAATAATGATACCATTTTTATTTACTATATCTGATATTCTTCCACATTCAAATAAAGTTCACAATCCTTAACTTACTGGGATATGATCAAAATATAATTACATATTGTATTTCTTATGATAATAATCTAAAATAGAAAATGTCTACACAACAAATAGTGTTAATACGAGGGTTGTCCCATAATGTCGTAGACTACATTATTTTCTCTTCAACCTGACGTCATAACTTATTAAAATTTACCAGATATCTTCCTTGGTCATTTGTTAATTTACCTACTGAAAGTCAATAGCCAATATATTAGGTAACGCTTTTTATTAGGGTTTTATATTTAACATTATAGCATAAAATCGGCTATTTTTCCCTCTTTTGCCCATGTTATAACGGGACCAAAACCATGTGTTAACATAGTCACGCGCTCTTGTTATAGCCCGGTTTCACCTATGCGCAATACATACAGGGCCCAGTAAACAAACAAACAAAAAATGACGATTTGGCCTGTTTGCCGAAGAGTCATGCGTTCTTGTTATATTGAAATTTATTGATTCGAGGGCCTCAGTCGCATATTCCAGTAACTATGCCGGAAAAACGGCGTATAGACATCGGTGCTAATCTTGGTTGTCGCCCTTTCTAAGAAACGGACAGTTGTCAATGTAAACAAATACAGTAGAATCTACCTGTCATTCAGTTTAACACTCCGATTAACTTACAAAACTAGATAACACAAAATTAATATGAGAAAATGTTTTTTATTTATGTTAATGTTGATAAATGCTCTTTATATTTCTTTGAGAGAATGCTTAGTGCCTGATTTCTTTTATAAACTTGTTTGCTTGAAAAAAAAACCGATTCTGATGTCACTGATCTTTTTTCTATCGTCAATCTGAAATCACTCTAAGAATTTCTGAGGGTCATGTTTTGTCTTGGGTAGAGGGTAGAGTAATGTAACGTTTTTTTTCTTGAGATAATAAATCTCCAAAGGCCAAGCTTTGTTAAATCAATTAAAATTCAAAATTTCGTTCGGTTCCGAGAATTTTCCAAGTTGTTGGCCCCGGAAAAATGAAACGCATACGTAAAACATAGAATTGGATAAATACCGTCCAAGCACAAGAATTTAATGTAATTGTGTTTTGTATAAACTATACATCACGAATCTGTTTGAAAATTTTATGCTATAATAGCGTCAACGCACGTTTATTTCGTGTTATAAAGTCTGCAGAGTCCCTCGGAACTGTTGGAGCCCTCGCCCTACCGGGCTCGGGCACCAACCGTTCCTCGGGACTCTGCAGACGTTATAACACGGAAAAACGTGCGTTAACCCTATAGTACAACATACCCGGAGCACGATAAAATATTAGTCAGTGTTGAGAGCATGCTTCTTAAAATAATGCCTTTAACTTCCAGCATAATAATAATTATGGGAAATACATTCATGTGGAATTACCTCATTCATTTTAAGTCATATCACCAACAGACGTTTATGTAACGTTAATTTGAAAAAGTCTGTAGCAAAATACGTAACAGCAGTGCTATTTTGAAAACGCCCAAAATGGCGACGTCAGATGAAAATGCGGCGCAACGCAATGTCACTGAATAATATGTTAAGTTGAAGAAGCGTCCAGCGTTAATTGACAACATGGAGAACATTATATTTTATCAAGATAATGCACCTTGCGATAGATCTAAGGAGACACAGATTGAACTTGATGTGATAGGTTTTCAGAGACTTCCGTACGCCCTAAGACTTTGCAGTGTTTCTTTATTTGAAATCACAATGACGAGGTCACATGTTCGAAAACTTCAGCGAACTCCGCCAGGAAACTCAACTCTGCGAGTGTTGAGTACATTGAAGCAGGACTGTTTTGAAAACGTTTATGATAAAATTGGGTTACCCCACACTGTCAGTGCATCGCGAAACACGGTGAATACTTTGAAATTTAAAAAAAAAAATGTTATAACGTCATGACGTTTATGACGGCGTGCGCCGGGTATGTATAGGTAGCATTCTTTAAATTTTGATAACTTGGTCAATTTTGGAGGTATTTTGATTTTATTTTGCATAGACACACATAAAAGGTGTATTGACTTTTCCCTAGCTGGAGGACTCAATTGTATTATAATTGATTGAGTAACAGGCTTTGTCTACGATATTTTGGGACAACCCTCGTATATGGTAAAATCAAATTCAGTAAATTTTATCAAGTGACTTAGAAAGTACGAGTACTGTTTAATGACAGGTACATATTTTAAAATTTCTTGTTTGTGTATTGAAGTAAACTCTCAAATCATGTTCAAATTTCTTGGTAAAGTTACATACATGTACAGTAGTTACTTAACAAATGTATAAGATATACACAAACCTTCCACAATCTGGTGATAAGCAAAATGTAAATAAAGTAGAAATAAGAGATTAAGGGCTGCCACAGCTCCACACACAATCATTCTCTGAGTCTGTCCATGTGTCCGTGATAAAATTATAGACACCTGTAATTAATTAATAAAGTTAATATTTAAATAAATTATTTTTCATAATTTCTCTTTCTTGTATGTTAGGTAATATTTTTTTTTCAAATATCTGCTTTCTCCTGATAAACAGATAAAGAATCCCGCATGTTCAGTTATAAATTTTTGACTATGGGTCTGAGATATGGGGCTGTCATAGGTCACTAGATTTTAGAGTGCATGCAAACATAAGAATTAGGCATTAGACAACAAGCATCTAATGCAGCATTTTTATGGTGAATTAAGTTTGAGATCTTCTAGCAGTTTAACTTAAGAATAAGGTAAAGTATTATTACAAAAGGTTTTGTTTGGGGTCCTCCTGGGTTCCTTGCCACTGGTTCTTGTTACTGGGTTGTGTTGGGGTTGCATTCATTGAACGCCGACTTTCCTAGTTAACCTATTTTTCATATTTTGAATAAAACTAAGATAAAAACTTACCATTCTGAGTGTGGATAGACCGCCAACTATGGCCCACAGAGCATAAAAGAAGAGATGATCATGTGAAGTATGGATAATAGTTCCTAAAAATATTACAACACAATGACTGCCTAAACCATAGCCCTGAAAATATTAAAACAAACATTCTGTAGACATGTTGTCTTTGAATACTGTTGATGAGAGAGAAAAAGGATTACAAAATATAGTTGATTTGGATATTGCTTTTTTGCAAATCAAGTATAAAAACATACAAATATATATAATTATGATGAGGGTATGAAAACAGCAAATAACATTAAGAAAAATGTATGTGTATATTACGGAAATACAGGTAAGGCTAAGTCACTGATAAGCCATCTTGTGATCAAAGATATCGGTTAATAATACACAGGACTAGTCAATGATAGGAAGGACACTGTGATAAGGTAAGATGCATATTGAGTCTATCATAAGTTAAGGAAAGTCACAGGTTGGGTATGCCATGTAGCGTATAGAAATAAAAGCAACATGTTAAAGTAAGTCACAGCCAAGCTTATACATGTATGTACATAGAGTGAAATAAAATTTGGACAAGGCTTAAGTGTTGGTCTTAGATACAGAAAGCTACATATTTCTTGTTTGTTTGATTTTACATTACTAACACTGTAAAAGTCATATCACTGTATAAGCTATATGGAATTATTTCAGGCATGAACAGGCACCCGAGTAAAACCACTGACATTACATATGCTAGCTGAAAGCTTCCTCTTATGAAGAATCTAAATCCTGGATGGAGTTATACCCATAGCAGTGAGAGGCATGTGGTTTGAAGTCAACAACTTAATCACTCTGCCACAGACACCCCAGAAAATTACATAAAATTAGCATTTAAAACTTACCATCATTGATAAAAATCTGTATCAGTGTGAGATGAGTATTCAGACATATGTTAAAACCCAGACAAGACCTGACGCTCCAAACCAGTACGTAAAACATACACCGAATGCTGTACCCATTAATGTCCTTCCTCCTACAACAATATCAATATTTAAAATTTTATATTAACATCTTTATACACAACAATAAAATTTTGTTTCATATAAATTACTGGAAATTAACTGAAAAAGTCTACATTTAAAGCATATACACAATCTAAAACATATTACTGCTATGCACGTCTGTCTATGATGAATTGATTGAATTCACATGTTTGATATCAGTAATATTCAATATAGTTCTAACTAAATACTGATCCAAGATTGGAGCATTGTCAAAAATATTCTTCCATGCAATAATTCTATGTATACATAACATTTAAGTATATTTTTGACAATTGTTGCAACAAGAGAGATCTTTATTATAGTATGTTTTGCAATTTACAGATTTGTTTCTTTACAATTCTACATATTTTTCAGTAAGTTAGAATATATATCATATACGTGATTAAAAACAATAATTTCAGTTTGCTGTAAATTTTGGCCTTTCAAATTTCTTCAGTAACATACAGTTTATTTCACATGTATACGAACAAAGGGAGTGACTGTAACATCAGTGAAAAAGATGCAAAACCCATTACAGTAATTTAAAAAATATGTATATATATATTGTATTAATTTAACATATTCTTATCATAACATCATATTGATAGGACTACATTATATAACAACATATATAGAATGTACAAATTTAAACAGTCTAAACCATTAATAGATTTTTCAAGACCAGAAACAGAGCAACTATTTGTACGTTATAAAGGTATCATACCACTCGATGATCTGCAGTTTTCATCTGAACAAGAGAAAGTGGCAAATCAGTGTAAAATATTATCATCATTGGTCCATACAGCTCCCTGTGAACTTTCTGTCTCTGTTCTGTAGGTCGTTGTGGGACAAATGAATATAATAACCTGTAAAACAAAATAACAACTGCTCTAATCTGTCATTACTCAGTTTTAGAAATCTTGTATTTTGATATTTTGTTTGTTTTGATCATGTGGCACCAAAACGAGAAAGATGATTTTGGCTTACATCAGGTTTTACAAACTATTAAGCAACACCAGGGATCAAAACCACCTAACCTGCTGCAGATAATAGATGCATAGATTCTAGTATTGTGAGAATTATTGCCCGTTTTGAATTTTGAAAATTCTTGATTTATCCCTTACCTTGCTTTATGTTTATAATGGACACATTGTTATCTTTAAGATATCAATATCAATTATTCATGCTAGAGTGATAGGCCTTCAAAAATGACCTCCAATTATGCTCTCAAATAAGTGTATAAAGTTAGAAGTAAATATCATAAGTGCCTTTTTTTAGTGGTTGAAGAGGTTTGTTGCTGCATGTAAAACTTTAACTGGGTCAGTAGGAGCCCTACTTAAATTTGACTACAAAAATGTAATTTAATAATCAAACAGACAAATTGTTCAATGTGAGCTAAAATAACTATTCTTTAATAAAATGTTTTTACATTTGGGAAATCTTCATTCATTTCAAGTGTATACTGCCGATATACATTTTTATCATGCAACTGCTATGGTAACTGCCCGATAACACTTGCCTGATAATTTTTTTTGATATCACGTCAGTAACCTGATATCAAAAATTAGCCCCGCCCATTTTAACGGACTTTTTTCAATTGCTTATATTCGAGCATTTTCATTTCAGCATGTGAATTCTACAATGTAATCTCATACCCTTACAAGTCTTGAATCTATGTAAATTTATTTATTTATTATTTTGATTTCAATTACGAATAAATTAGATAGCGAATAGTTTTTAGCCCACCAACTAAATGAAGTGACGTCATAATTTATATTGCAAATGACATCATCGATGTTCACGTCATACTATACATGTAATCATAACAAACAGGCTGACGATTTTCTTTGAGAACTTGTAAATGTTACTTTATTTCGCCGGATTATTATTTAATAAGTGAACAAATTGTTTCGTTTAAAAAAAAAAATGACGCATGTTTTGTGTAGCTTGTGTTTGATTGCGCTTTGACTTTTCCCTTTGAATTGAAATTATCGTGAAACTTTTGAATTTGGGACAATTAAGACCAAAATTGGGCAGTAAAGTTTAGTTTTTATGTGATTCCTAAGCGGATTTTTTGGAAAATCGATGTTTAAAAAATTATAGGTAAGAATGTTAAACGTATTAGGCCTACATTCTGTTGTATCTTTTATCCCAGTCGAAAGAAAAAATGGCCGCCAATCAAAAAATTCTAAGTGTAGGGGCGGAGGAATTTTTTGTTTTCAAGAATTTAATTTTTTGAACAAAAATTCCCCCTTTTTTAACGGAAATTCGCTATTAAAAGTAGATTATTTTGTTTATGTTTGACAGTTATTTATGTGTTTACATGATAAATAGAAAAACATGCTACTGTCCTTTTGGGATATCAATTTTTTATCAGGCGAGGCTGATATGGGCAGAAAGGGCTCGGCAAGCCTCGCCCTTTCTAGCCCATATCAGCCTCGCCTGATAAAATTGATATCAAAAGACAGTAGCATGTTATTCTCTATGTATAAGCTGCTGAGATAACTAAAATGTGATAAAAATAGAGAAGCACTATCAAAATTAAAGGCCCATTACACCCAAAAATACAATTATTTTCATTTCTCATTTCCCTTTTGGAGTCCTGTTACACTCATTGACTATATACATGACCATCAAATTACTTCTGTTGCTTTTTGGCAATAAGTTGTGTTTTAGTATATTTTATAGAAGTCAAAATACATGTACCACTTTGTTTACGTTTTGTTACCTTTAACTTAAGTCATTTCACATCCAATGCTATTTTCGTCAGGTGTTCAGCAACTCACATGTTCTAAATTCATTATTACAACATTACAAAACACTTATGTCTTTTCTACAGACTAAAATGGATACCAAAATCTTTTAAAATTTAATAAAGACCCTTGGCCCTTTTTTGAATGGGCAGTAATAAATGTATGAATGATAAATTTGTAATTGATCTATATAGTACACTGGCATACATCTGTCAAAAGGCTTGTAATGTATAGTTTTTTTGAATTGGGGCCGGAGGCCAAAAAAATTAAATCTTTTGTCATTGTCATTGATGCTAAATTAATAATTAAAGTCACAGTTACTTTCTATTTTCTTACCTTGATCTAACTTCATGTGGCTCTACATTGAAATAAGGCCTCAAGAAATCTATGTTACCATACACATTCCATGCTTTTGTTGCCTTCTGTTTTCCTGACTGCCACATCTGTATGTATAATTATATTCATCAGCAAATCATAGTAATTTACAAAATATGGTCACATTTTGTTTTAAGATCATCAGTTTGTCAAGACAAGAGAAAAAGTAACCCTGATAAAAAATAAAAATGGCAAAACATCTTTTTGAAAGAATTTTTTTTAAATATAAATCGAATTTAAGAAATAAAATTTTTAAGGCAATTTCAAATTGGGGGAAAAATTAAGTTGAAATTAAAGTATTAAAATTACAAACTTTCCCTTAAAAAAAACTAGTGGGCATTTTCCTGAAAAACTTTTTTTCCATGGGGAAACCATGTAAGTCCCCCCTGGGCCCTTCCCTCCCCCTTCCCCTTGGACCCCCGATTTTTGGGAAACTAAAAAATTTTTAGAAAATTTTAAATTTTCCCTTGACTGTAAATTAAAAATACCCCCACTTACTCAAATTTTATCCCCTCTTTTTTGGGACGCAAAATTTTAAATGGGTTTAAAAAAATAAATTTTAACACCATTTCAAAAAATACAAATTTTACAGCAAATACAATGAAGGAATGTTTGTTTAATGTAATTAAATTTGCATTCTTATGCAAGTGATTGAAAGTATCAAGTCTGTGCTGTTTAACAAAATCAGTTACAAGAGATTTCAACATTCTAAAACAAAATCTAGCGTGACTATTTTACCCGACTTTAAATAATATTCATAAAAAAATAAAGATATATAGACAATATCAGCAATAAACTTTGTTTCACATTCAGTATGAAAACTGGTGATAAAAATTCTCTCAAAATGGAATTTCTTTAAAATCTGTCCACAATTCTTAAATGTATAGACAATCAAAGTTATAAATATGTAATACAGAAATGCACTAGTTCAGACAAGTACAATACACAAAATCTTGATTTTTTGGAAAAAGCCGGGTTTAAAGAAGTAAAAAGATAAATTTGTAATGATTTTCGTAGTCTTTTGGTTTTGGGTTTATAGAATTTTGTTCACAAATGGTTTTTTCCCCCATGCAACTGGGTTTCCCAAAAATTTTTTAAAATTTTTCTCAAAATTTTAAATTTTGAATTTTCGATATTATTTTTTGATTAGCGAGAAGAGAAAAAAAAAATAATTAAAATCCGCTTACCTGAAAGTTTTTTTCATAAACTGAAGGTCACCCAAAACCCGTATCCCTGTCATTCTATCTAAACAAAAGGGGAGTCTGAAAATTTAAAATCAATAAATATTGATGAAAAACTCTGAAAAACAGCGATCCATCCTGAGCAATCTAGACAAAACATACATGTAGTAGGGTGAAAATTGCTTTGTTTCATGAAAACAATGAAAGATGCAACATCCATCATACTCTATCCCCCTCCCCTCCTCCCAGCGCCTGTTTTAGCAGTTTTCAATCTTTCTTTCACACTGAAAAATTAACATAAAAATCTCTAAGGACCAGAAATATAACAACACTATAGCTGTAA